TTTGATGTTTATTCTTACTGACCATTCATAACCCCTACTAAGTATAGGAATCTTTGCAAAGCAAGTTACTTCTCTACTTTAGGAAGAGCTGTCATTTCTCTTGGTTGTGTAGGACTCCAAGAACTTAAAATTTTAAGACACTGTGTGGGATGTTATTTTCCCCTGCTTTTGTAAGCAATCTACAACTATGAGCTCTTGATTGTGATTAGATTCATCAGTTTGTAGGTGATCTATACCTTTATTTATATCCCCACCTTCTCTCCAGAGGATCATAGGAATCCAGAGTTTGAAAGTTTTGGAAGCATTATCTGAGCTAATATTCATTCTTAGCTATAGACCTAAAGCACAGGTTTATCTGTTGTTAATACTAATAGTAATTACTAATATAATAATAGTGATGATGCTAAAATAATCTATATATATAAAAGCCTAAGCGACTGTCCGACCAGTAGCTATGATGCACAATGACCACCAGTGGGCAGATGCTCTACACAGGAGCTGCCAAGCTGTGGTGATGGCAGCTGCGGTTCTCAGGTGACGTACCCGAAACCAGAGAGGAGGGAACCCGATTCTGGGGTGCGTCACCCAAGAACCGCCCTCTTGCAATCTGGGACCCCATGGGGGATGTCGGAGAGCTGGTTTTGGCCCGATCCCCGCAGGCCAGGCCGAGGTACCTCTAGTATAATAACATTATCATCAGTATTGTTGTTTTGGTCAGTAGGGATAAAGTTGAAAGAATTCCCAATGTGGTAGTTCCATTTCTTAGTTACTAAGATTAAGATGACTCATACTTACAATGTTGTCATTTACCCCATTGTCATAAATGGTCATGTTTCTCCCTTTCACGAACTAACTAATCCTGAGCTGCTTTGCCTTGTAAGCCCTCCATTTCTCACATAATCTGTTGTGTTTTTCCAAATCGTTAGTCATAGACTCTTAAAGCTCAGAGTGACTGGAATTTACAGCAAAGGAATTTTCTTCTAAGGTTGCAATATTTAGTCTCTTAGAAGCAAGAGTTACCAAGAATTAACCCTGATAAACCAGATTGGAATTCAGAGCTGTGGTCACACTGAGGGAGGCCTTTCTTTCTCCTCCGGTAGAGAAAAATAACCAAGTCCTTTACCCTCTGAACTTTAGTATCAGCAGCGTCGCCAGCAGGAGAACATGCAGCGCCAGAGTCGAGGAGAACCCCCACTTCCTGAGGAGGATCTGTCCAAACTCTTCAAACCACCACAGCCCCCAGCCAGGATGGATTCTTTGCTCATTGCAGGTACTGTCAGCCAGCGCAAATGTGGCGGTTTTCTCTGTTCTTTAGAAAGTAGGCGGCAGAAATTTGAAAAAAACAACAGAATGTACATTATAAAAGCTAGTGCATTTAACATGGTTGAATGACGAATTTGAGTCTAGTACCTGCAATTTCTGAAATTAAAGAATTTGTCAGTCTTTTATTTTCCAGGTCCTTTCAGTGCTTCACTGTGTTTCTCTGAACATTTTTGAGATGGTATTATAAACTCTCTAAAATGGGAAGGTTTTATTTGTGTTATCTTCATGGGAAGTAAGAAAACCTTTTTACAGTCTCGTAAGGTAGCAGATCCTTTAGCTGGAGCGTTTTGCTTTTCCTGTTGGAGCACAGCACTGAGCCCAAGTCTCTGTGGGAGTTTGAATTGAATTGAGTTTTCTGACTCAACAGCAGAGTGTTTCCCTTACTTAGACTTAAATTGTAGCAACACGAATGCAATTCTGGATGGACTTTCTCTGGGGATACTTAACATTTAACACCTCCTTTAAGTGGTAGAGTTTTTATTTCATACTCTAAGACTTGATTTAGAATATTTAACATTCATGATCTTACTAGCTATAAATAACTTACTTCTATATAAACGTTAAATACTGTTCGATTCAATACCTTATTTCTGTATACACATTAAATACTGTTAGAGGCATTTATTGGAGTGAAAATCCTACGCAAAGAAAAGCTGATCTTTTACGATTCCCATTTATATATTTCTATTGATCTATTTTTTAGGGTGGAGGAAAATCTAAATTCTATAAAGCTTTCTTGTACCCACATAAATTAAATTTGGGAAACTGAGACACATTCCTTACTTAAGGTCCAGTGCAAGCAGAATTGTATTTCTCATACTTTCAGAAAATATGTAATTATTGCAGCAGTTTAGATCATTAGTTTTATGACTTAAAAGCAGTGTGTGTCCTTTCTTCATGGGGATTCTGTCTGCTCTGCTCTGTGGTGGTTTTGGGGGCGGAGGAGTGCTCAGTGTTTCCAGAGCACAGACTGGAAACCACTGTACTTGGTCAGGCCTGGGTCAGCTGGGTCGGCGTAGTTTGCCGTTCTTTCCACCTGCTAACGACCAGTGCTGTTTTCTACCTTGTACAGTGTTGGTTTCAGCTGCATAGTCAGCACATTTTGATTGACAGCTAATATGTTCTTAACTGCTGATGATCTTTTTGAAAGTTGTAATTTTTCTTCTCTGTGTAACCAAGAGCAGAAGATAGCTTAAGATTCTCAACCTGTGGGTCGAGACTTGGGGGTCCAACGACCCTTTCACAGGGGTCGCCTAAGACCATCGGAAAACACATATAATTACATATTGTTTTTGTGATTAATCACTATGCTTTAATTATGTTCAATTTGTAACAATGAAATTGGGGGTCACCACAACATGAGGAACTGTATTAAAGGGTCGCGGTATTAGGAAGATTGAGAACCACTGCTTAAGAACTTCTAATCTTTATTATCCCTATGGCAAAATAGAATTGATTCTTATATCCTCTTAATCCAAAACAAAATACTGGTGGTTCTGTGCTGTGTTGACCTTCTTGTTTGAGTTCCAGATCATTTTATAATTTGAGGAACATTACAATTCTTTCTCTCACTTTCCCAAATGCACAGGCCAGATTAACACTTACTGCCAGAACATCAAGGAATTCACTGCCCAGAACTTAGGCAAACTCTTCATGGCCCAGGCTCTCCAAGAATACAACAGCTAAGAAAAGGAAGTTTCCAGAAAAGGAGTTAATGTGGACTCTTGAGATCACAGTGGCGCAGCTCTTGGAAGAAATATATTTGCATCTTGAAAAGTCTTCTAGCCAATAATAAAATATTAATTAAACAATCTTGAGTGCTTGCTCATTTGGATTGAGACATATTAGTTGCTTATTTTTGTCTTCCTTCTACCTATTAATTTCCAAAATATAAAAGTCTTCACCAGAAACTTCACCAGGCTCTGACCTCCATCCATCACTTTGGCTACCCCTGAGCTGCCACTTCTCAACCACACAGTCCAGTACTGCTTGTCCCAACTCCTGACCCAGAGGCCTGGAACCCAGTGTGAATCCTAGCACTTCATCGCTCAAGCCCCTGGAACCCAAGGCTCCATGTCTTCGCCCCATCGGCCTCCCCCCAACCCCCTTGCAGGCCTGGAATCGCTCAGGGAGCTTCCCAGAGGTCCACCTTTTTGTTTACTCAGGTGATGATTGGCCAATCCTCGTGCCCATAGACCACTGGGCACAGGTATTTAAAAGAAATCACTTTACCAAAGGACTGTATTTTGTATGACAACAAAATTCTTTCTGTGTGTATTTTTAAATTTAGAACTTCATATTTATCCTTTTCATACCATGATATAAATTCTGCTAAAAGCAGGTTTTGGGGAAGGAAGGAAGATTTGGGAAGACAGTAGTACATTGGAGAAAAACTACTTTATTAATTTTGAGTTTGAAAGGTCATCAAAGATCCCGCTGTTTGTGTAATTCCGAAGTCAGACTTACCTGCTGGTGGCGGTGTGCCTGTGCTACTTGTGGTGATTTTCACCTTGAAGATGTAGATCCTGGAAGATCATAAGAAGGAGTGGACAAAGGGTAAGAAGGTGAGAATTCTCTTTTTCAACAACATTTTTTGGAAGCACCGAGGGGCTCTGGGATCAGGCAGCCTGATCAATATCTGGCTCTTTTCCCTTTAGTGTGTCCTTAGACCAGTTGCTTAGCCTCGCTTGGGTGAAGCACACAGCACAATGGTGGTATTTAGCAGACACTCGAGGCTATTTGGGCTATGGGGTTATTAGCAGGTTTTTGCTTTAAAAGCTCAGGTCCTTGATCACTGTAGAATCCAAACATTTGCTCACATGTGATTTCTTATTTGAATCAACACCCGTTTGAGCATTACTGTTAGGCAGAGGGGTATTATCGATAAACAAAACTGGCCATGGTCCCTGCCCTTGTGGACTGTATACTCTCTTGGTTAACTTCCCTGCATTCTAATCGCCTGGACTTGGAATACATACTATTGAGTTGAACAAAGCACCCTTCAAGTAACAGCAAAATGAAGAAAAATCAGTTCAAACATAAGCTTAATTACTGTTTTCCTCCTGGTGTAAGATTAATTTAACAAAATTCAATTATGTTTTTTAAAGGTGTGATTTAAAAAAATTTTTTTTGGTGTAAATTCCATATGACTGTTTAGATACCCATAACTCAGTAATACGTGAGTACATGCTTAATGGGAGAGTGCAGTCATTTTTGAATTAGGAATTACTGTGGTGGGAAAACTGTTTAGGAAAACATGTCAATGGAAATTAAGTCTCCACAGTATGTAGTGTTAGGGAATAGCTTCTGTTCTGCATTTGATGTGAGTGCTGCATTCTGACATTTTTCAGGAACAAATACATGTGGTTCATCTTCTATAAATATTTGCAGTTTCTTCAAGTTGAAATGAGAAAAGCTCATAAACTGAGTACCAGGTCTAATAAATCATTCACTTACTCAAGAACAGAAAAGACAGAGAAGTCTAGTATGTTAATCTAAACGAAAATTGAGTCAAGAAAGTAAAAACGTTTGCCATGAACCCCATAATCATTGATAATGTCTTATAAGGTTCTAGAAAACAAATTATGCTTCATTAAAAAATACCTGAGGGAATGAATCTTGAGACTGCCCAAAATACCTTATCCTTTTAATATCGAGGTAAAGTAAAACCTTTTCCCCCCCATTTTTGAAAATTGAGATGTGGTTATCTAATATTGCCCTAATTAATGGAGGTTGTTGTGATTTCTCATTTACAGAATCTAAATATTTCATATTTAGTGTCTTCTAAAATGTTAACCATTCATGCTTTTTATAATCTTTAGAAAACCTGCATTGGTTTCACTTTCAAATTGTGCTGGCATTGAACTCTGGTGTGGATATCAGGATGTTATAAAATAACTTTTTATTTGAGTTGTAAACTCCATTTTTATAGTAAACATTCCTCATTTAAATTAAATATATGACATACCATTTATCAATTGTTTCCCTTTCTGTTCTCACTGGGCATCTTTTGATTCTTTAGAAAACCTGCATTGGCTTCACTTTCAAATTGTGCTGGCATTGAACTCTGGTGTGGATATCAGGATGTTATGAAATAACTTTTTATTTGAGTTGTAAACTCCATTTTTATAGTAAACATTCCTCATTTAAATTAAATATATGACATACCATTTATCAATTGTTTCCCTTTCTGTTCTCACTGGGCATCTTTTGCTATCATAGTTCTTTCATAGAAATGGAGCAAGGGTGCTTAAAGGGATAATACTAAATGGGGCCAACCAAAATAGCTATAGGGCTTGTTTTAACAGAGCATCCTCCCTTATTTGGGATGTATGGAAGGGCTGACAGTGGTTAGTAGATAAGTAGCGAAGGGAAGGTTGCAGATGTGTGCATATCATATTAATGCTGACACAGGTGAGGGGAAAGCAGCGGATGGTTTCTGCATCCCCTGACCCAGGGCTGCACCGGAGTAGTGAGAACCTGCTTGTGTCTGAACCTCTGTATGGATTGGGTTGATCTGACTCCAAGTTACTCAAGACTGGGCATGAGTAGGTGGAGATCCAGAGCCACTAGGAGGTTACAGTGCATTGGAACAAACAGTTGTATCCTCATTCCCTCAGCCTTGAGCTTTTTACATAGATGACACTCCCTATAATGCACCTTAAGCCTGCTTGGCTCCACAGCTCCTGGCAGTACCCAGTATGGCTGTACTTACTTCTCAGTGGTGATTTTAGGGATGCAGTCCATGGATGCAGAAATGGCTTCCCAGGGCCACCACTCCCACATTGGGGAGTGTGGACCACCTTGTAGGGATTTAGTCTGCCCCAAACATTTCTTGACCTGTATCCTCCTTGTTCTCATAGGCTACTCAATCATATGAAGTTTTTTAGAGTCACAATTTGATTTCATGGGATTGATGTTGGAATTTCTTAAAACTGTGAGGCATCCATTTTCAATCCTTGAATCAGTGGCAAGCGGTCTACCGAAGATTGGATGCAGCCTCGGGTCTCACTAATTTAAGTATTCCCAGGAACATTCGTGAGCTGCAGGGATAGTGGATGGGGTGCTGAATCCATGCTTCCTGGAAGTTCCTTTTAACAGGTTGCAGATACATATTTAGTTTCTTTCCATGTGCATCTTGTCCCCTTGAAAAGTATAAGAAGGTTCTGATCCACTGGTCTTGTACTACAAAGAAAGGTAAAAAGATGACTTTCTGTTTTAATCCAAAAATTACTGATTTTATGTTTGGACAAAAGTGAGGTAATCTATCATTTATTTTTAAAAGAAGATATATTTTTATTGATTTCAGAGAGAGGGAAAGAGAAAGAAACATCAATGATGAGAGGAAATCGGCTGCCTCCTGCATGCCCACTGGGGCCTGAGCCTGCAACCCGGGCATGTGCCTGATTGGGAATTGAACCGTGACCTCCTGGTTCATAGGTCAATGCTCAACCACTGAGCCATACCAGCCGGGCTCCTACCATTTCTTCCTCAAACCTGTAACAATGCAGGGTGGCCCATTTCCAAGCATCCTTATTTAAAATAACTCAGTCAACTCAGATTGCAGCAAGGATATATTCTTGCTTCTGGCATTTGTGTCAACCCAAAGACAAACTCAGGTGTCACTTCTACTTCCTTCCGTAATATTTTTTTCATTGACCCTTCTTTAGGGCACAGCCGTTTCTGGCATCTTCCATCTTCCTCTGTGGACATGGAGGCAGAGGATTTGTTTAACTTCCAGCAATGTTTACTACTTCTGACAGCAAATGGTCCTTGCCTTTTCTTCCTGGACCGTAGTCTCTATTGCCAATATTTTACTTTGTATGTATTGGAAACGGTTCTTGTTTTGTCAGATCCCCTGGGTAATCTTTCCCCACCTTTGTTTATCTTGTCATTTGGCTTAATTCATTCCTAAAGTCAATCTGCATGTAATTCCTTAGTTTTGATTCTTTACCCTTCTCTATTTTGAGGTTTTTAAATTGCATTTCATTTTTTTAAATAGCTGCAAAGATTTTAATTTTTTTTGCCCTGATCTAATCATGCCTCTCCGAATGCCATAATTCTGCAATCAGGCGGGCGAGTGTCCCAATAACCTCATCCCCGAGATCACAATGGTGAGGGTCTCTTTCTCTTTGATGCATGCAGCTCCCATTATTGCTAATGAAAGGTCTTCATGTGCATTAAGGGGAAACTAGCCCTCTAATGAGATACAGAGAGGAATTGCAGCTGGTGATTTCCACTTCTAGCCACTGTACTATAACAGAAACGCACTCTCAGGAGGCAATGGGCCAGAGAAATACAAAATGCATGCGCTGCCTATGTAAAATATCCAGTCTGGTCTTAATGGATGGGCGCCATTGTTTTGGCTTGTGGTTTCTGATGTTCCATATCTGCCAAGGGGGACCCCTATTATGGAGGTGAAAGACCCTGATACTTGGAGAAGAAAGTGAATAGACTAATTACGTTGTATTTGAAGCGGCTTTTAAGAACAATCTTCAACATATCTTACAGTTCACAAAGCACTTGCTTGTATAATTTCTCATTTGGAAGGAAATGGGAAAGGGGCACAAATGTGTTGCGTAGTCAATGTGCTTGGTACTGGGAATACTAAAGGGAGGAGAATCACTGCTCAGGGATGGTGAAATCAGACTTCAAAAACATGATTAGAGCTAACACACTCCTAGGAGACAGGGCCAGGACCGGAGCTCAGGTCTTGGGTTCTCTGACCAGTGAGTAAGTGGCACAACCTCTAGAATAATAGTTTGTTTCAAAATAGCTTCCTACCTGTGTGATATCTTTTGTGGTGAACCGTTGTCTCCCCTCCCCCCACCAATTTGGGGAACTGTTTCACTCCCTGACTCACCCCACCCCCTAAATGCAGAGGATCCCAGTGATGAGTTCCCAATGTCCATGTGTATGATTGGACCCTCGCGGACACCTCGCCCAATCAGTAACCCTTTTCTGGTGAACAAGAATTGAGATTGAGGGAGTCCATTGTCCATCTGGGCTCACTTCCTGAGAATATCTAACCCCTGGTTAAGCCCTTTGTAACCAAGGGCTGAGAAGCCACGAAGAGCACAGAGGAAAAAGCAGAGGGGCAAATGTGAGAGAATGCTTCCCGGTTCCTAACACCTGGATTTCCTGGTTCCAGCTCCTTTCTGAGGCGTGTTTGTATTCTTGCCCTTGGGTCTCACAAAACCACGTTTGAGTCTTCTTAACACTGCCTTTTTGTTTTCCCCTTCAGCCACTTTGAGTTGGTTTCTGTTGCTTTCATCCTCAAAAATACTGAGTCCAACTGAGGTATGCGCCCAGGCTTATTTGCTATTGGGCCTTAATAGATTTGAGGAGGTGTAGCCTTAGGAGGCGATGGGAGAATAAAAGTTACATTGCAATTATGTTAATAGAATTTTAAAGCGGAAGGCAGCCTAGCCTGACCTCTTGGCCACCACCAACTCTCCCATTCACAGCTATGGGAACAGGCACTGAGAGCTTTAAATATTGTTTCCAAAATAGCCTAGATCGTCTGCTCTTCTTTTGTGTTATTCTGCGTCTCAACATTTCCTTTATTGTTATTATTTAAAAAATCTAATTTTTTTTTTTATGATTTCAGAGAGGAAGGGAGAAAGAGAGGGAGAGAGAAACATCAATGATGAGAGAGAATTATCAATTGTTGCCTCCTGCATGCCCCTACTGGGGATTGAGCCCATAACCTGGGCATGTGCCCTGACTGGGAATCCAACCATGACCTCCTGGTTCATGGGTTGATGCTCCACCACTGAGCAACACTGACTGGACTAAGTTTTCTTTTTCAATTACAGTTTACATTCATTATTATTTTGTATTAGTTGCAGGTATACAAATTACATTTTTTAGAGTTTGATGATTGCCCCTTACCTGCTGAGCCGTGGCGTTAAGGTGTGTTCCCTGCAGCATTTGGCGCACAAAGGCTTCACACTGTCAAGAAGGAACAGGGAGTTGGGGGCTAGTGAAAACCCCCTCCCGCCTCCCCATCACCCTGACCGTCCGGCAGGGAAGTGGATGTGAGAGGTGGGCTCCTGCTGCTTTGCTGAGATTGGTGGTATAAGCAGGTGGCGGGGATTCTAAATTTGGTCTGAGATGGAAACATTTCAAGCAAATAAAATTAAGCTTGATTCTTTTGACAGTGAAGTTATTTCTTTAGAGATGCAGATGTCAGTTTATGAAAGTACAAATCAGTGCTGGAAAAAGAATACTTGAGGAGGGTGTGTGTGTGTGTGTGTGTGTGTGTGTGTGTGTGTCAGAGCTACTCCTGACAAAACGCTTTGGAAAACTCACCTGTCTCTGCATCCTGAACTTGAAATGAGATGGTGTGTGGAGTCCATTCCCTCCCGCTCCCCAACTTACAGAGGAAGGGAGCTGTAGCGATTTGTTAGGAACAAAGACATTTGCATTTGCGATGTTCATGTCATTCTGTTCATGCTCTGTGAATTCACAGATGTACAGAAGCTCAGCAGTCATCTGGGGTAGGAGAGGCAGACAGGGAAGGTGTTGATTTTGCATTTTGATGAAGCCCTGATGGGGCAAATCTCAGATGACAATCTTCTGTCTTCTATCAACGACCTGTGGCACTTGTTGGGTGCTCTGTGGAAAGTGGCTGGAGGCTGGCTAAGTCCTCCATGGATTCTGGATGCGTGTTAGCAGTAAACCACGGCTCCCAATTTAAAGCACCTTGTGATGAAAAGAGGATTCTTCTCCTGATGCTCTTATGTACTAGAGCTCTGGCTCTGGGAAGAAAAGTCAACCAGCCATCCAGGAAGAGCGGCATGACTTCTGAGTCTGTGTCGAACTTGGCGAGTGGGCTCTAACTGCACATGGAGCATCGCTGTCGAATGAAAGTGGAACCACAAACTTACCGTTCAAAATGGTGCTGCTTGTGGGTTTTCCTCTGTCCTATGTTAGCATAAGAGCACCTCCTGGTGGTGACTCAGCAGACAAACATCAGGAATGAAAGGGCAGTAAGTCCTGACCCAGGGGCTTCCCCAAGGGCTGTGGTTCTCTAAGTGCCCCCCAGAGGAGCATCTGCTATGAACTTGTAGGAAATGCAAATTCTCGGGCCTCAACCCGGACAGGGAACCAGGAGCCTTGAGGGTGTGGCCTAACCACCTGTGCTTTCACAGGCGCTCCAGGT